GGCCAGTCACTCTCTCTCAGGCCTAAGAAGGAACAATGGTGAATGACTTCTGAAATCTTGTCAAGAAAACTGCAGGGAGTAGTCCAGGTAGTTGCCTGGACACTGACTCAAAGACACACATACTCCTAAGACTAAACTACCTAGAACTCTGGATTCTCCCTAAGAGCAGTATTTTCTTCATAGCCAATTCTTCTCTGAAATAGGGAGGAGGTAGGAATCTGACCACCAGACACCAATATGTGATCCCCATTCAAGCATTTCAAAGAAGTGTGCAACTTACCATGCAAGTAGCAGTGAGCAGTTCTTATTTTTTACAGAGTCACAATCAGTAAAGAGCCACAACTCCAGTATAGTTGTCTGCAGTGGAGGGCCTTCAGGTATAGTGCTGGGCAAGCAAACTCTTTCACATGAGATGAAACCCTTAACAGCTTAAGAGGAAATTTGGTTGGTTGGGAGTTCTTTGTAGAAACTTAACTAAGTTTATTTCCTTTGAAGAAGTATATTTGAGAAAGAAGCTCTCTTGAGCACATACAGTGCCACCCAGTCTAAATTTGCTAACTGTGAAGTAAGTTCCTGTGCTCACTGGGGCTTGCTCCTAGGTAAGCTTAGGTGATCCAATCAGCTAGAAGCAATAGAACTTATAAAAAAAGTGTACTAATTATATAGACTGGTCCTCCCAACATCATGCAAGTGGTGAGCTTTGAACTCTTTCCTCCCTCATTCTTTACTCTTTCTCAACATGTGGAATGAAAAAAAGTGTAAACAACTTTAGAAAGATCAGTGGTTACTAGCATAACAGATCAATATGGCTTGTACCCTGAATGGGCTGTGGGTGGCATATATTGTTGAGGTTATCTGCCATATCCAAGCAGATGCATTTCCTCCCACCCTTTAGTGTTTCAAAACATTGAGTTTCTACCAAGCCAAACTTCTCTTAATATCTGTTTCCAACCAAGTATTTGACAGGTGAAATCTGAATCTTTTGCTCCTTTTCTCACACCTCTTTCTCTTTCCCAATTTCATTAGTATGAGTACATAAACTGATTGGTTCCCCTCTTGCTGTTAAAAACTTGTTTATTGACAAATTATGAAATGTGACTTACAAAAATTTAACATGAAACAAACTAAATCATCTAAATAATATCCTCTGCTTAAAGGTCAATTATTTTGTTATCTGCTTTAGATTCTTCCCAGGCATTAATATCTAATGGAGTGACTAGTAGCTCCCCAGAGCCTCCTTTTTTCCATTTCTGAAAGAGATTTACTTTCCCAGTTATCAGTTCTTCAGAATTCCTCAACTATAATAATAAAAATTCAACCAGACCACCAGGAAGTGCTTCTAATGGTCTACAAGAACACCCAAGATTCAAACTCATTCAAAATAAAGTATTCTCTGACCATGTTTCTATCAGTCTCAAGTTTCATTCTAGCCCCTTCTTCCTGTTAGAGAAGATGGAACAAAACAGGAATTGAGTAGTACTGCTACTTTAATTTTACCACTAATTTTCCCGTTTAATATGCAGATACATTGTTTCAAACTAGTTATATATTAAAAACAAGAAAAACACAACCCATTCAGTTGAACATTTGAAAAGAAGGAAAAGGTGCAATTTCATGAAGTTTGTCCATAACTTTTTAATACATTTTCTTACAGTTCAATTACCTTTAATACATTTAATACATTCCTTCTTGGTTATAGTATTTAATAGCTTCTTTTCTTAACTTTTACAAATAAAAATGTTTCCAAACAGTTTTCAGCCAAAATTCCACATGTTTCAACCTTTATTCCACTGAATTTTAGTGGCAAAGAAAGAGGAATCATTTAGAGACTCAACTAAAACTTAACTGAAGGCACATCTATGTTTTAGTTTGTGACAACATACTAGAAGAGTTATGCTCACTTATGTCAGCCTACTTGTGTATGAAAAGAATTATATTGGAAGGCACTACATGAAAGTCTTTGCACTTGCCCAAACTTTCAAATTGTATATTCTGTTAAATGCTTATAAGTTTTATAAAAGTCATAAAGATGTATTCTGATATTTTTCCATGAGATGAATTTTACTGAGCTGTTCATTGTGCAATTCTTTCCAGGGTTTTTAGTAGTTTCTTGACCTGGTTTTCTTTTTCTTTTTTTTAATCATAATCAAATAGTTATTAAGTTGTATTATCTACATTTTGGAAGCCACCTTAAAAAATATTTATCCTTGAAAAAAGGGTATAAATATTTTAAATATGTAGGAGATTGTTATTAAGGCTGAAGGTCAGTGTACTTGTTAACCAATAATAACAGCAGCAGCAGCAGCAGTAACAACAGCTATAATATCTGTATTATACATTCTGGGCCAAAAGGTTATGACGTTTTCTTAATTGTTTCATGGAGACTTTATATAAGATACTATTATCTATGTAAATAATATTTAAAATATTATTCAATCTCTTCTATGTTTAGCTTTTTAAAAATAATACAATGTAATAATATAGAATGAAATGTGATTTCTGTTATAATATTGTTGGACAAGCACTACAAGTATCCCATACAGTTAATTACCTTTAAATTATCATTAACAGTTATATATTACTGATATTTATATGAAGTCTGGCAGATAAGAAAATAGTTATTTATGGTATCACTAAAACATGGAACTGAACTGGTCAGCAGCATATTTTGAGATTCCAGAATTTTATTTACCAGACTAATCTTTGAAATAATCCTTGAATTTATTTAATAGCCTGCCTAATTAATATTATATCGTTACATATAGGCCAATGAAAGATTCATAATCATTTTCTTACTGAATGCCACTTTTTCCAATTTACCATCTTCATTTTTCTATATTATAAATTTGAAATTTGTGCACTGTTTTCTTAAGTGCAGCAACCCTTCTTTTGCTTCATCCGCCTTCAAGTAATCAATGTGCTGCTGAATGAGTTCATTTTAATGCATTCAATCATGCCTCTAATGTTTGTAGCTTACGGGTGCAAGCATCAGTAATGCAGGAATGTTATATGGCTTTAGTTTGGACCATTTCATAAAATATTCATGGAATCAAAAATGTGCATCAAAATAGCATCTAGGAGAATTACATTTATGTGCCTGCTTTTATGGCAGCTTCACGTTAAAACCCATTTGTGTTAATATCTAGTCAATCTTTCTATTCAAAAATATTAGAAAATTATAGAGATTTTATGCATCCCTTTTTCATTAATATTTGCCTAAGATAATTTTTATTTAATAAAAATATAGACTTTTGGAACTGTTTTGTAGAAGAATAAATATAAAGAAGAATAGTATTCATAAAACAGAGAAAACTATATAGATCATGCATTTCCATTTATTCTTCCAAATCGAGGAGAACACCTTTTATCTTTTGATATAGTACCTCTGTTAGCATATAATGTTATGGATTGTATTGTATGCAATGTATGGATTGTAATTCTTATTGTAAAATTTCTGCACTTCTACATTTTGAATGCCGTATGTTCGTTTTGTCAATTAGATTGATCCAATTATAGACTACTTTGTTAAAGGTTACAGTGTACTATAATCTAGTCTAAAGAGTCATACTAGTATGTCCCTGTGCTTTAATGATTTATGCTTCCTTCTCTAATAGCTCTTCTGGATTAAGGATATTTTATCAGGGTGAAAGGCTGGTTCAAGTTTAAAATTTGATTGTCCCTTTTTATCCCCTAAAATAAAATATCAGATCAAGAGCAAATAGAATCACTTTATTTAGCACTTCCAGTTTCATGACTATATGAACATATTAATTTATCCAAAAAATCACTGTGTTTTGGATCATATATCTTCCACAAAGTAGACATTTCTTATGTATTTCTTACACAATAATTTTTTTAGACTACTAGACAAATCCCACCCCATCCCACCCGCACCCCCAGAAAACTATTTCTGACTTCATTTTAAAGAGCAGCTTGGTTGGGATTTCTGTCAGACTGATAGACTGATAAAGCTGCCCATATTAAATTCTTAGAGTTCATCCATTTAGCATTCTTCTTTTGAAGACATATTTTAGGAACAAAATTGCTAGTGGAAGTATTTTGTTCCTCCCAAAGTTTGTAACTGACTTTGGCTGGACAATGTTAATCTCAAAAACTATTAACTATTAAATGTTAGATGAAAGGACAAATATCATGTTTTATATTGCCCTTACCCTGGATTTGTCCTTGTTACTAGAGTTATGGATGTTGGAACTATAGAGAGGAATAATCCATGTGTTCCAGTTGTGGTCGTGAAACATTCATGATTACATTTCTGGATGCATAGGGAACTGCAGTACTAGTGGTTATTGTATGTATTTAATTAATAAAAATATATGCAAAAACAGGGGAATATGTGTGCAACAAACTTGATCAAAATGTTGGCAGTAGTTATGATGGAGTCACATGGCCTATAAATTTAACAAACAAATAGCAGTGCTGCTGATTTAAGAATGTGTAAACTGGCTTTGAATATGTTTTGATACTCTGTTCAGAATTTTCATCCTAAAGCTCCATGTACATAGCAGTTCACTGTGTAACTGAGGTGAACTCACAGTGCAATTTGTTAGAGTGTTTTTCAAAAATACTTGAATGTATTTGTGATGGTCTACAGGTGTTCTTGATCTCCATATTGATGAAGTTGTCTGAATTAATGGTACAACCTACTTAAACTACTTAAACCATTTTCTTAAAGCTAAAATAAATTAAGTGTAGGTGCCAAGTCTAATCTGGCATTTTTGGAAATAATTTTTCATAATGTTTCTACCTAAAACACTACTTTCTACTAATACTGTATATACCTTTATGACATATTTAAAGTGTCTATGGACACTCTTCGAAAAAAAATATACTTCTTTGTGTTGCGGGGGGTTCACAGTTTCTTTATCATTATGACAAATTTGAAAATAAATAAAAATAAATAAATAAAATAAATGATCCTTTAATCAATATATAATATTCTATGTAGGGTATTTGAATATGAGTTATTTTGTATTCTTCAGGTCACTTCCTGAAAGCTGTAGAACATTATGAAGCATTCTATAATCTGACAGTGGGACGAACATGGAAAGATGATACAGGCCGGTATTTCAACTCACTAGCCTGTGAGCATCTCTGGAGAATTTACACATTACTGGCAGACAAAATGCTGGGAAATAATGAACACCAAGAAGCCATTGGAACTCTAATAAAAGCTTTCAGAATGGCAAAAGAAGGTGAGAAGGAAATAACATTCCTGCGTTTTCTTTCTTTAATGTGCAAGCCTGGATTTTCCCAGGAGTAAACTAAAAAAAAAAAAAAAAAAGAAATCATCAAGTGTTTGGTGATTATTTTCTATGAAGTTCAAGACAAATGCTATCAATATATTTCTAAATCTTGTTGTAAAACTGAAGTACCTACTTGCTGACAAGTAGGTATCCATTTATTTCAAGAAAGCTTTTAACTCCAAAAATGGAGTCATCTGGGACTACTGCTTTAAAAAATAAGTCCATAATCAGAAATAAGGTTACTGGCAACATTTTTGGTTGTGTTCTTCTCTGATTACTTGAGTGACACTGCTTATATATTAAAATAAGATATTATATTGAAATCTGAGAGTAAAACATGTCTCAAGTACATACACATATATAGATTTTTACTTACTGGACCATTATTGTTATCACAGTAGTTCTTAAATAAATGATTTTAGTAATTAATGGAGTTAATGTGGTTTTAACTCTAGACATTGAGTCATATGGCACCTGCCTTTTGTGGTGCCCTTTGATACCATTTTAATCGTAATATATGTGGGGATACATCAAGGGTATACATGGCATAGAGCCTGGTTACTTGAGGGACCACATGTCTCCCATAATATCTTTCCGGCCAATCCAATCTGGCAGGGTTGGCACACTTGTTCCTTCAGTTAAACAATGCCATCTATCAGGACCCTGGAAGCATGCCTTCTGTGTAGCAGCACCTGCCCTCTGCAATGAGGCTCTCCTGAGATTTGAATGGCCCTCACCTTACTGGTGTTTGAAGGGCCCTGAAGACCTGGCTCTTCGTCCAGGTCTTTGGTGAGTGTGATGGAAGCCCCTATTTCTTCTTTTTCTTTGTTCCCATCTGGGTTTGTTATCTCTGCCATCTTTATTGCTTTTTGTGTGTGTTGTTTTCTTGCTTTTTAAATGTTTTTAACAATTTGTAAACCACTCAGAGTCACTGGGAGTTGGGCAGCATATAAATTTAATAAATTAAATTGAATGAAGGGTGTGGCCAATTACACAGGTCTTTTCCATCTGATTGGCAACCTTTCTATGGAGAGAAGTCTTATCTACCATATAATGAACAAATAATAAGTAATTGATAATCAGCTGTATCAATACAGCTTAAAAGATAGCAGGAAAATAGTGAGCTCAGTGATAAAAAAAACTTATTGAGAAAAATCATCTCAGTCAGTTTCACCTATAGCCAGTGCATGGTCTACAGCAATCCTATTTTACCTCTCTGAGATAGATAGAACTTTGACACAGACTATTACTCTCTGTTCAAAGATACTGCATTGTTTAGAAATACACAGAGAGAGAGAGACACTACTTCTTTAATTCAGCCTGTGTCCATAGAATTTTTTGTCAGTATATGTTTCTTGAAAACGTATTTTGGACATCATTGCAGTGAATGTTGAATAGATATTATCTTATTTTATGTGGGAATAATTCCTTAAGCAATATTTTGTCATCTTTTTTCATTACAAAGATTATTTCCTTTGATATTTATTTTGTTAGCAACCAATCATAGAGATTGAGTTCTAAAACACTTTAAAAACTGAATAGCTTGAGATATTAATCTTTTTTTATTAAGCTTTTGATATCATCATGATGAATATCTAGAATATTCTTCAAGAATCATGTATTTCCATCCTCTACCTAGTGCAGGATTCTACTACCACAGCCATATGTTCCTTACAATTAAAACAAGGGTAAACCATTGTATCTTGACCTGAATTCTGGAATAGCTCTGAACCATTATACCCCACTTTCTACAGTCAGCCCTTCATATACTTGATGACAGCTAATATTTCTCCTACAGTCTTCTTCAGGCTAAACATAACCACCAATCTGGGGATACTTGAGCCTGTCAATGTCCTTTCCAAAATGTGGTTTCTAAAACTGAAACAATATTCTAGATACAGTCTGACCAATGCAGAATAGAGAAAAATGATAACTTTTAACAGCCTATCTTACTAATTGTTAATGATGGACAAAGCTCAGAATTTAAGTCATCAGCATGAATTTCAGATGCATTTTAAAAGGATTATCCTCTCAGTAAACCCAAATGTAGGTGTGGTGTGTTCCTGACTCATCACTTTTGTATTGGCCCAGATATGTTACTTAAATGTTTGGAATCAAGGGTGTATTTAGGGATTCAAAGAAAGGACAAAATAAGGAGTGCCGAATCCTCTCATGATCTCTCTCGTTTGTCTTGGGCGAACTTTTTTTCTGAATGTACAGACTAGTGGCATCTGTGAAGTGGGAGACAGGAGGTGTCAAAATCTGCAAGATGGAAGTGCAGCTTTGTTATCCAAGCCCCACCCCTTTATGGATGCATTAAAGCTACACACATATACAAAAGAGCCAGCACTTGGATTGCAGTGCAGATTTTGACACACATCCCGGTGGGCATCCCTGGCACAGACATAAATAGATGGAGATTGTTATGCTATCTCCTGGAGAATATATAGCCCTTACTCTTCTGGCAGCATGATTTTAACTTGCTTTCCTTGCACACTGCTTGCCAGTGCCTAACAAGTAAGAGATGTTTTTCTTTTCGTTACATTTCTTTGCCTACACCCACCACCCAAAGCAAAATGAAACACTTGACGTAATATATTACACAATGTGTTTTTCCCCTATAGATAATATTAATGTTTGTTAAGATGACCTAAGATCAAAATATTCAGGAAAAAAATTTCAGTGCCATTTAATTTGTTTTAAGCCTAATTATAACATTTATTTCTATTTAGCAGAGAATATGAAGATGGAAGGGGAAACTGCTTTCTGTTTAGGTATAGCATATCATTCAGCCGGAGAATTAAAGACAGCTATATTAGTAAGTCTAAATGATACGTACTCTAACATCTTTTATGGCTGTACCATTAACTTGCTTATAGCAATTAAATTGAGATCTGAAACACATGTTGCAGTATGAAATAGCCCTGTTCAGAATTTCACTGTCTGCCATGCTGTCCTCATAAACACTGTTTCCTCATTCTCTCGATTTCTGTGCGTTCCTCCATCTCCCTCCAACACCAAACAGTTTATTCTGCTGAATATTCTCAATTGTTTTAAGACTTTTTTTGGTGTCTCCCTTGTTGGAATTCATCTCTGAATACACCATTTTTCTACACCTATAAACTGATTGATCACTGGGGGCAATAGATGTAGAAATACTTAACAGTAGTGTTTTGTACTTTTTTCTCTTTATCTTCTATGAAATATTACTGAAGTAATATTTCACAGAAGATAAAGGTAAAGAGAGTGTCTTTACCTAATATGCCTCCTGTTGTTTAGACTGATATTCTCAGGCTTTTCATCACTTTCTTTCTCTCTTAGTTCGGTTCTCTTTCTTTTCTGATTGTAACCTATGCAGATCAGGTACTTCTCCAACTTGCTCCTCATGACAGAGGAAAATACACTGTCTTAGCTGTAGACAGAGTTAAGCAACTTAGACTTTCTTTTCACTATGTCATTTCCTAAATAAAAGGGTGTTTTTTTCCTTCACACAAGCACCATCACTTATAGAAATTCTATTCCTAACTTTAATGTTTCTCTCTCCTTGTATATTTTGCACTATATAAAGCTGTTGGCTATCCAACTTCCCCTTCAGTAGAGTCCATATGAGTTTCAAAACTTTGCAATTGGTTTGTAATAGTATGTAGTTTGAAGTTTTCTTTAAGGGAAGAATTATGTGATAATAGTAGTTCTGCCTCCTGGGCTAGACATTATTAACCTTTTGCATTCCTGGATCTGATATGCACAGCATGTGTTTGCAAGTTTGTTTTTTTACCATGAGATAAGCTGCTTCTTTCTCTGGAAAGGGAAGAGATAATCTATAAAGTAACTTGTCTGAGGGAAAAGATGTGTGACTGGAGAAACAGCTCTTCCCTATTGACCTAATCTGTTTCCAAAATTAGTTGGAATGAGTGGGATGTCTATTCTGGGAAAAGTTGTTCTCTAAAACAGCCAGAGACCATATGGACAATCACATGGAGAATTTTCCTTTGTTCAAGACCAGAAGAATCTATTTATTTATTTAATTAATTGTTTTAAAGTATAGATTCCAGCCTTTAAAATTATAGCAATATCTCATAATAATTTTATTAAGCCTCCATTGTTAATTGCTATTTAAATATCTCATCTGCCAATTACTACCTGCCCTGGAAAGGAATGAGGAGAGCTTATGTTGTTTTTTGTTGGCAATAATTGATAATATATTACTAGCATAAATGAAAATAAGTTCTTTGACTACCCTACATTTCTTATTCTAATTGATAAAGTGTAATATATATTGCACAGATCCATCTTGTACCCCATATGCACCCATTCCTGGACCAGGAAGCCTTGCTCGCAGTCGCTCACACCTTGGACATTTCACAATTGGATTACTACAATACACTCTACATGAATCTGCCCTTGAAGATCACCCAATAATTAAAACTGGTCCAGAGTGCAGCAGTATGCACAGTTCTCTGCACCTCACATTTTGCCCATGTTACACTGTACTGTGCAAGCTGCACTGACTTCCAGTTTCTTTCCAGGTGAAATTCAAGAAGTTGGTTATCACTTTTAAAGCCTGAATGGCATGAGGCCAGGTTATTTGCAGGACTGCCTTTCCCTGAGGGTATCTGCCCCTCCCACCAAAACAGATAGGTGGATATGCTCCAGATCCCTTCTCTTAAGTGTTGCCATCAGCAGGACCTAGGAGGAGTAACTTCTCTGTATGAAGGCCTGGGGGGTGGGGAGGATGGGAGTTGCCAAGCAAACAGGGAAGCGGGTATGGAGATATTAGGACACTGTGGTGGGAAGTCTGTTTTTTTTTTTTTAATACTGTGGGATTCCTGTTTTATCTTTTATGTTTTTATTGTTGTGAGCCACCCAGAGTTATTGTGCATGTTGTACAGAAGATGTATATTAAATGTATATTGTATATATTGTATTGTATATAAGATGAGCGGCCATATAAATCTTTTAATTAACATTAATTTAATTATAGTGGTTGGACTATCCAAAGAAAATATGTTAGTTGCTACAAGTATTTTCATGAATCAACAGGCAATAATGGTTTAAATTAAACTGTAAAATCTGACACTTCGTTTAAAGTGGAAGATAGCTACCTATCCTGGTCTACATTAAAAAAACTAAATCATAGACAGATATGAAGCACACAATAGCTTTTGCTGATCTTTGAATATAAACACAATGGCAAGTATCGCTCTTTACCTATTTTGAAGTTGCCTACATAACAACAGTCGTTGAAGTGTGAGTTGAACCTGAACTTCAACATAGGAAAGGATGTTTAACCTTTTGTAGCATCTTCAGTGCTGTCTCCCTCTAACAGCTGTTATTTCCTTTCAAGAAAGGAACAATCTGCCACTAATTATTAATTTCCTCCTAGACAAATAGGAACATTGCAATCCAGATAAGTGGGAGCAAAATAGTTGTCTTCTCTCCCGCACTACAGTTCTGACCTCAGTTATCCCCCTCACTGCTATTTAAACTAAGTTTAAACACAAAGGTCAGTTCTAGACCTAAAGTCAGGTCTAATTTGGCTCTAACCACACCTGAAGCATTAAACTCTTAAGTCATGTATTCCATTCAGGTACATCTTTAGTTTCTCTGTAACATTGGTATTATTCTTGTTGTTTTTATTATTTAAATAACACCAGCATTGTGCTGAGTCCTTTATATTACATAGATGAGAGGCAGTCCATGAAGAAATTTAGATGACAGAGAGATGAAAGTAGGATTAATAACACATGGCTTGGAAAGACTGAGAAAGTAAAAAAAGAAGAGCAATAGAGTGATGCTAGGAAAATTTGGGAATGAAGTAGAAAGAGAAGTTTTAAAGAGAATAAAGTTTCATGATAAATTGAGAAAGAACAGCTTTTTCATGCCGAGGAAAGACAGCATCATGAGCAAGAAAAAGAGGAGATAGCATAAAAGGCAAGCCGTAGCTGAGCTTCAACTGAGCAGATAAAGTTCTGCTCAGAGAGGAAAGAGGAAACAATGAATGTCAAATGAGTATATGTTAGAAACTTCCCTGGCATGTCCAGGTAGGAAACATTGATATAAGAAAACATTTTGTCATACTATCCTCTATAGATCAGATGGATAAGAGAAAAGAAGAGGTGGGACAGTAAAAGAAATTTGATTTGAAGATATTGAAGAACTAGTGTAACTAGTAGGAATCATATTGGGAGAAAAAAAGATTATCTGTCCTTCCTGGAAATGCTGTATATGAAAAACAGAAAGAAGAATTAGAACAGTCTTGTCAGCAAAAGAATACAGTTGTAAGCTGCACTACCTAGAGCAGCCAAGTCAGGAATTCTGGTAAGTTATAAACCCAATATATCTGAGGGGCACTAGATTGAAAAGGCTGCTTTTAAAATGTATCTGAAATTATTTATGTAGTATTTATACAGAGCCTCAAGGTATACACAATGTTTAACCTACATTATATGTTTTCCTTCTTCCTTCCTTTCCCTCTTGTGTCTTTTAGATTTGTAACTTGCAGTCTAGGTTTAACACTTAATTTTACTGTGTTGGTGTCTTATTTATAAGGCACAAAAGAATGTTAATACTCCAGAATGCCTTTCAGTAGTTTTGTGGTAGTAGCTTGTTTTGGGATCTAGATGTATGACTCAGAACATGACTGTCTTGCCTATTTCCACTTAAGGAGGTCATGGCTGCAGCAAGAATTTCACCTTGGACTTCTTGGTTCACAATTTAAACTCTTAATCACTGCATTATACCAGATGGCAGCACATAATTTCTATTATGAAGATGCTGACACAGCTGTTACATAACCTATCTGTTGTGTACTTTGTGTAACTTAGCTGATCAGAGTGACTCTATGGTAAATCCTTATCAGCTATTGCAGACAATGTTCATTACCTCATGCAGTTTACCTCATGCAGTGCAGAAAAAAGGAAGTAGTTACCAAAAGAAACTGTAGAATGGTATTGGTATTGGTGTAAACTAGATTTAGACACATAACAAAGAAAAGGAAATGTGTCTAAATCTAGTTTACACCAATACCTTCTTCTTCATACTTTACGTACCTTGCACGTCATCACTGCTTTCAACATGTCCATACAATAATTCAAAATTATCTTTTATTATTTAAACTTCTCCCCTTTTTTGAGGGTAATAGTAACTCAATCCAACCATATCTTCCTCCAGACACATGTATTTTTCTTTCGTATATTTATTTTGCAGTTGTATCTTCATTTATTCTATTTCATCAAAGCATATTTCTTTCATACAGGTCACTCACTTTTGAATTCTATCCATATTCATTGATCACCCATTCATTCTTGATCCTATCTCTTCTTCTCTTACCATCTACATACTTTCTAAGTACCTCCTTCCCACTGTATTCAACTTTTATGTTTCTTCTGACATAGCCAATTGTCACTACCATATAACAAACTTCTCTTACACCCAACTATTTATATGTCTTCAACAAACATTCATTCCTTGCAACAGACCACATACTACCCACTGCTTTCTACTAACATTTGCATAGTCTTAGAATTTCTCCATTTTCCCATCTTCGTATATTTATTTTGCAGTTGTATCTTCATTTATTCTATTTCATCAAAGCAACTATTTATATGTCTTCAACAAACATTCATTCCTTGCAACAGACCACATACTACCCACTGCTTTCTACTAACATTTGCATAGTCTTAGAATTTCTCCATTTTCCCATCTTCAGGAAATATTTTACCAAAGTACACAAATTTACCTCCTTGTTCTGGTTTTTTTTGGCCAATTATGTATGACTTGCAATAATTCACGCCATTTTTCTTGTCAAACACAACTCCT